CGTTCATGGGTGAGTGCATTTCTGCACTTGCATTATCGTGCTGTGCCTGTACTGCTTCGTGGGGATTGGTGTCTGTTGGAAAGTATGTGGGAGTGCCGAGCTGTTCTGTAACGGGGACGAAAGGTGCCTCATCTGCTGCTGCTGGCTCGTCGGGTTGTTCTCCTGCCACGTCAACATCGTCCTCGTCATTGGCGTAGCTGTGCTGTCCCTGGAAAATGTTGTCCGGTGCGTTTTGCGCAGTGCGGTGCTAGCGGTACAGTGGCAGGGTCAGTCTTTCGTAGAAGATGCAGTCACGTGAACGCGTGAGCTGGTGGGTGGCGAAGTCCAGAATTGTCCAGGCGTGGTATTCGGATTCGATTCCGAGGTGAATGCCCCAGCGAGCGCGATCCTCAAATTTTCCTGTTCGGGCAGTGTGGGGGCGGTACTGTACCATGCACTCGAAGACCCGCAGCATGCGTGTGTCGGGGTGTTTTCCGGTCCACTCCTTGAAAGGTGAGCTGTTGTTGGGCAGTGCCTTCGAGGAGAGCATGTTGTGCAGCCGGACTGCATGTGCCATTGCGAAGGGCCAATACTTGGTTGGCACGGCCGACTGCTTCATGAGGGCTCGCATTTTTGTCGCGAGGCTCCTGTTGGTTCTTTCCGCCAATCCCTGCTGCTCGTGGGCGTAAGGCAGGGAGACCATCCGCTTGATCCCCCTTTGCTTGCATAGGGTTTTGAAGTCGCCCGACAAGTATTCCAGGGCTCCGTCTGTCTGGAACGCCTTCAATTTGTGGCCGTCACTTTGGTTTTCTGCCATGGCGAGCCAGACTTCGAAGCAGTAGTAGGCGAGATAGCGGTCCTTGACGTTCACGGCCCAGACGAAACGTGTGCTGGCGTCGATGAAGGTAAGAGTGTACTGCTCCCCTCCAATTCCTTTCGCTGTTAGCACCAAGAAATCACTGTAAACCTTCTCCAGTGGTTTGTATCGTTCGGCTCCGGGAATCTTTTCGGCGAAGGGCGTGTGGCGGAGCGCAGCTGCCGGACAGACGGTGCAGTTAGGTAAGTCGGTTCGTGGTTTCAGCAGCTTTCCATCGGGCAGCAACAGTGCGTCTGCCGCAAAAACATTTGCGTTGATGCAGTTGTTGAGCACTTCGATTGATGGGTGTCCCATGCGTTGATGCCAGATGTCTCCGTCGGCCCGATATCCCTTAGTGCGCGCGTACAGCTCCTTTTCTCGTGCTAATATCTCCTCTGCTGTTGCTTGTCTTGTTTCGTCCGCAGAGTCGTCGGGCACGATGACTTGAACTGCCGCTGCTTGAATTGTCACGCCGTGATACGTTCCGCTGGTGTCGCCGATTGTGGCGGTGCCCATCGTCACAGGCAGCTCCAGCGGTTTTTCAGGAGACGGGGAGGAGGCTCGTGCGTGCCGACCTTCGGGTTGCATAATTTCTCCTTCCTCGAAGGTGGTGTCGCCGATCGCCACTCCCCTTGTCTCGAGGCGAAGATAGTCCCTGCCGTCCGTCGTGATGGGAAGTAGGTGAGGTCCGTACTCCGTCAGTGACTCCTCCTCCTCGGCTTCTGGTGCCTCTTCAGTAATTTCCGGTTCCTCTGCTGCTCCTTCTGCAGGTACTTCGGCGATGCTTCCCCATCCGGTTTCGGCTGCGACGGCTTCACCCAGCGCGGTGTTCTCCATGACCCAGCGCACATCGACTGCGTCCCATCCTTCGGTGGTGTTCCAACCGGTGGGGCGTTCAACAGGCGGCCAGAAGGTTTGTGTCCTTGTTGGCTCGGTTGTTTCGACTGCTGTTTCTGATGTGATCTCCTCTCCTTCTTCCACTGCTTGCGGTCCGGTTTCTGCAGGGTTCGTTGTTGAGGCGACGGGCACGGCGAGAGCGCGGAAGGTGCCGTCGAGGCCGGGTTGCTGGTAATCGGTTTCTTCTAGGTGACTCCACCTTGGCGGCGACGGATGGCCCGGAGGGTCAAGGACAAGGATGTGTTCGTTGTCCCCGGAATTCTTGGGTGACTCAAAGTCGAGCACGAACACGCCTTCCACACTTGTCGTTTTTCCGATGAAGATCCCGTCGTAGATTAAATGCATCTCGTTTTCGGTGGTTTGCAGGCTGACTCCGCACTTCATCAGCTGGTGCAAGGACAGGAGGTTGTACCGGAGTTCTGGCACGATGAGGACGTCGCTGATGTGGATGCAGTAACCGGTGTCATGTGACTCCAGCTGGATTTGGCCGCGAGCTCTGGCGTAGATGGTTTGACTGTTCGCAACGGTGATTTCGACTTCGTTGGAGAGTCGCTCTCTGTTGAGGATGAAGATGTCTGTTGACACCATGTGCTGTCCGCAGCAACTGTCCAGGTACCATGTGTTGACCTCCTTTCTTGCTTTGGCCAGATTGGCAAGCTTCGGAGTGATGTGATGTTCCATGTCGTGATCATTTTCGTAGTCGTAGTAACATTCTTCGTCGTCGTCTACGATGCGTGCAGGTCGCGACTCCTGAATCCACTCCGGCGCTTCCCAGTCAAACTGCATCCGTCCAACCGTTAACTCGTCGTAGGTTGGATCATTCTCTTCTTCTTCTTCGACTGATCCTTCGGGCCGCTCCTGAGGCGGGTCTGCGAACATGTCTTCCCAGCTGCGGAAGAAGCGGTAGTGACGGTTGGGGCGAGGCGGTCCACGACGCACCATGCAAGTCAGGACCTTGCTTTTGCCCTTGTCGCTTGTGTTCGCAGAGAGGCGCGCCGGGGCTTGGGACGTGCTGGCGATGGCTGGCGGTGACACAGTTTGGTTGTGCGCTGCGGCTCCTCTTTGCTGGTGAGCAGCGGCACCCTTCTGGTTGTTGTTGTTGCCGTTCAGTTTCCAGCAGTTTTGAATCATGTGCCCAATCTTCTTGCAGTATTTGCAGAAGAGTCTTTTCTTGTCCGGTGGCGCTTGAGCGTAAAAGGCAATCTTCTCCTTCTTGTTGCCTCTTTCGTTGTACAGGTCGATTTCCTTCTGCTCGGAGAGAAGCGTGGAGCAGAGGGCACTCTCACTGAGAGTGCCTTGTGTGCGAAGGAGGGACTTGCACTGGCGCCATTCCGGGCTCAATCCAGCGAGAATGATTGTGACGAACATGTCGTCAGGGAAGTTGCCGCCGCTTTTCCTGAACTGATCTCTTTGGTTCCTGCAGCGGTTGATGTATGGTCCGGCTTTCTCGCCGGGGAACATCTTGACATTGTTCAACTGGTTGAGCAGGCGACTAAGTGTCACCGAATCTGTTGCCATGTGGCAGGTGCGCAGGTGCTGCCCACTCGTTTTTGAAGGGGCGAATGCTCAGCTGCTCTTTGGGCGACAGGTTTCGGATCAACACGGTGAAGGCCAGGAGCGATTCGTTGTAATATTGGGTCTTCTCCTGAGGTGAGCCGTTGGCTGGGAAGGGATACGAACCGTCGTAGTACATCCAGATCTGAGCGCACTGAGCTAGCAGCTCGAATTCGAAACTCCAGGTGTAGAAGTCTTGTCCGTCGAAGGGTTTGGTTGTCCTTAGTTTCGACGTCGAGAGGAACTTGCTCTGCATTGAAGCCATTGCCTCGTAATGTGTTTGTTGTGCTTGAGCAGATCCTTGAGCTTCGCGGTTGTCGAAGGTGAAGGATCGCTCAGATCCAGCTCCTTGAGGATCGGGAGGTCTTCGGGCGTAACTTGAGCCGTCAATGCTCATTGGCTGGTGGCTCTCCAGTGCGCTGATGCGGGAAATCAGCTGTTCGAGTAGAGCTATGTCCACGGTCGTCGTAGTAGAGGCGACATTGGTGGAGGGTTGTACTGGATTCTCTCCAGCTTCTCCGCAGTCTGCGCCTGGCATGCTGATGCCCTTTGATGTCGTTGTTCTTGAGACTTAAGTTATGAAGAAGCTTGTTGGAAGCCCCTTTAGCAGTTCCTATAATCCAAACTAGCTCTCATACCATGTTAGAGTAAGGATCTTGGATAGAGTAGGAAGTGCCTTAGTAGAGTTGGTAGCGGAAGTCTTGTGAGAACTCAGATCATAGTGAATGTAAATGACCAAGTTGATTAAAAGATAGAATACAGGGAATATAAATAGTCCTAACTAGCCATGTACTCTAAGGGGTACATTCCCTTATTATAACTGTTTTTACAGGCATTTCTACAGTGACTCCAACTGTTGCACTACTTTTCTTGTTACCGAGTTGCTGCACGTAACCTGTACGGTTACGCCTGTTGCCATTCCTCGATGGTATGTCAAGCGTCGGTCCAGATGGTCAACAGTCGTGACATTTGACTCTTGCGACTGTTGACCTTCCTGCCCTTGATACGGGCTGATCCGATACTGCGGTTGTTGCTGCTTCGACAGAATCTGGTGCGGTACTACTGCACCTACGGGAATGCTAAGTAAAATTCCCTTCACACTCCAACAAAAGCGACGACCATTATGCAAGGAAGGGGAGTCAAGTGCCTCCATTCCTCCTCGCTATGTAGCACACCTGGTTGGGCGCTCACGCCGCAACTTGCGGCGGGCAGCAGTGCTTGCATTCCTCCTCGATACGTAGGATGACAATCGTAAGCACCCGCCAGGTTGGGCGCTCACGCCGCAACTTTGCGGCTGTTAGCAGAATTGCTTCCGTTCCTCCTCGCAATGTAGGATGACAATTGTACGCACCCGCTGGGATGGGCGCTCATGCCGCAACTTGCGGCTCTTTCAGGTAGAAGTAAACCATCTCCATCCTAAAGGCAACCACATCAGCAATGTGTCAGTGCTCGGCTGCCTTACGACCCGCGTCGCGCTCTCGTCGATCTTGCTGCTCCGGGGCGCACATTCTCTCGCTCACCCCCCCACTCTCCCGTCCCTACTACTAGTACTATATAAGCGCATGAATCCGCAAATCATCGACAGTCGAGCCATTCACTTTCTCTCACACTAAACAGCAGTTCGCATCACCTTAAGCAGATTTTGAACATTTCGCTACGACTTTCCAAAAACTTTTCGCGACCCTACAAGCAGCCTCCTTCAGGGCTACTAACAATGGCTATCCGAGGTGTTTTCCTCGCCGCGCTTGTGTGCTTGTCGGTGCTCGCAGCGCTGACCCTCACCACCACGGCCTTCGAGCTTCGCGGCACTCGCAGGGACGGCGGCGCGACTCGTACTAAGACTGTTGCTGGCAGGCGCTCCCTGGCGGACTCCGGTCATGCCGCGATGCCGAGCTCTCCAAAGGGGAGCTCTTCCAAAGGGAGTAAGGCCTATTGGGACATGGCGAGAAAGGCTTGTGTAGGTAAGGGCAAGGCGTGCGCGAAAGCCGTCTCCGACAACTTCAATAAGAAGGACGGGGCAAAAATGGTGGCTGGCGCCGTGGCCAAGGCCGGCGGGATAGCGGTTGACGCGGCGGCAGGCGTGGCAGCCGCGCGGAAGGGGGACAAGGAAGGCGCCAAGAAGGCCGCGGTGGATGTCGTCAAGGGCGCTGGCACGATGGCGGTTGCCGCGTTGGGTCCTAAAGGCGCGCTCGTGGCTGGCGGGACGGTGTACGCGGCGAACAAGGCGAAACCCCACTTGGAGAAGTTTGCGAAGCACGTCAAGGCGAAGCTCAAGGAGAAGCGCGAGGCTAACAAGCAGCAGCGCGACCTGGGCTACCACGAAATGAAGTAGGATACCGGTAGTAGTAGCATGTTTGTGATCTCCCCCACGGCGCGCAGAGGAAGCTGCTGATGTCGCGGTGAATAGCTCAGCGAGCCTTGTTGGGTCGTCTGGCTGCCGGAGCCTTGCGATGGGGGGTGTTTTTTGGGGGGGAGGGGGAGGGGGAGGGGGAGGGGGAGGGGGAGGGGGAGGGGGAGGGGGAGGGAGAGGGGGAGGGGGGTGAGGGTAGGGGGAGTGGGGGTTCGAGGGGTTTGGGAGTTTATCCAGGCTAAGCCTGAAGAGAAGCAGGGAGTGGGCTGTGTGATACGATTCTGCTGCTGGGGTAAGCTTCTGCTGCTGCTGCACTAATGGGTTGGGGTAGTTCTAGTGGTGAGGGTGAAGATTGGTTGTTGCAGGTATGGCAAGGGGGGTGGCTATAGAGGGGCGATGGATGAGGTGCTGAGAGGGATCCCTGAGCGGCTTGTGATACGCGACCATTAGGTCCGGGGAGTGGAATGATGGTATCGGAAGAGGGGGCATAGGCAGGCAGGGAAGGGTGTGATAAATGCACAAGATGTTTGATGTTGCTCCTAAAATGATCTATATAATTCCACCTCCTCTTATGGCATACCGTACAACAATTTACACCGAAGCCAAAATTGAGCAGAAAAGCTCGTCTTCAGACAAGCCTAGACTACTAATAGTCAAACTTCTACATATCCAATTCTAGTTCCAAGTCATTGAATCTCCTAGGAGTACGCACTAGTCTTTCAGACCTAGTCACCGTCACAACTTCCCAATCCCATGCCTGAGAGCTGCTGCCTCGTTTACAAGAACCACTTATGCTATTCTTCTCCATAGCACCCAGTGCAGTCTCAATCTCCAGACTGCATCCCTCCAAACCTGTCTCACTCTGCCCAGATACCTCCTCACACAACCAGCTCCTCTCCTCATCCACTCCACTCCCCTCCTCTTCACACTCACACATCATGTGCATACTGCTCCCTGCTACTCCCCACCTCCGCAGTATCCGCCGCCGGGCACGGCCCTTCCTGGCCCACACGGGGAAATCAGCCAACCCATCATCGCCCCTCCCGTCTGGCAGAGCAGCAGCTGCTGCTGGCAAAGCCCCGCTGCTGGTGCTACTTCTAGTGCAGCGTGCTCTTGACTTCCGCGCCTGCTGCATGGCACGGCCCTTCCTAGCCCGTGTCCGTGGCATCCTCGCGCGGCCATTTATGCCCCACGCAAGGAATCCGTGAATCCTGTCGGTGCTCGTGTCAGTGCCGGCGTCCGTGTCAACGTTCGTGTCACTGCGTGTGTCAACCTTGGTGTAGATGCCCGTGTCAGCGGGGTATCCGCTGTGGGATGGTGAACCAGCGCCAGCAGCAATCGGAGAAGTTACTGCTGACGCGCCATCACTACGAACTAGCACCTTCTCGCTTCGTACCACGACTTCTTTTAAACAAGGGTCACCACGAAGTAAGTTAGGACATCTTGCCCTGCGTTCGCCTTCAAGCCCATCCACCACGGTGAAGCCCCTTCCCACACACTCCTCTAACGGATCATCTACTACCGAGGCAGTTTCCGAGGACAACGCAGATGCCGATGGAGTTTCCCCGATATAAGTCGCATCAGTCACATCGGCCTGTGGTGCTGCGTTGTCGGAGTTGTCTTCATGAGTTGTATTGGGTCCTGAATGGGTGGTTGGGAGGATGGTTGTTAGGAACGAAAAAAGGTAAAAAAATCGCCGGTGTTACTAGGCGCTGGGAGAGCGTGTGCGAGAGAACATAAACGCGAAGGACCTGCTGAAAAAAACTTACCGAGACATTGAGAAGCAAATTGTCCGTATGATGAAGCCACTTTCTCACACGACGCTGCCGAAACACCTTGTTCCCCCAAACCCTCTTCTATTTCGAAAAGCTCTGGAAAAACGGTCTTGACATTGTCGAATATCTCGTCCGCTTCACCCTGCCCGAGTGAGGCGGTGTCACCGACGGTGTCGCCGTCTTCGTGATTCCTGCAGCGTTGCGTTCCACGAACCGGCCGCCGGGTCAACGCGGCGTTGACGTCAGAACCAATATGCATAAGAAAAAATGTGGGGACGTGCGAACTGGAGGGACAGGGCTGATGACTTCGTTTGAAACCGCTGGGTGCGGTGTGTCTAAGATACGGTGACAGTATCTTGCTATTGCAAGTTTGGGGGCGGATACGCACCCATCGGCCAATGTAGCGGCGGAGTATCGTGCAGGATAAACCATGTGGCTTGAGTAACCAACAGAAGGGCGACTGGCGCTTTAGAATTGGCGTTAAAGAAATACCTTGCTGGAAAATGCCAGACAGCGGGATGGAATATGGCGGTTGTAATGCAAATATGGCGAGGCCTGCCTGGAAAATGCCAGGCGTGAAAGGGATGGGAGGTGAATGGAACAGCCCTAGGCGCTTGAGAGTTGGAGTAGGGGGACTCAGAATAATAGGCTGGTTCAGGGGAAAGGATGGCTGGCTGAAGAAAATGTCGGGGGCCTTTGCTCGGATTCGAATTTTGAATTTGGCATTTGAGTTTCGGTGCGACTTGAATTCAAATTTCCCGAGTCGCGGTTCTGGATAAAAGCTATACCGGAAGTCACTATTGCAGACAAAAAAAAGGTCAAATAAAAGACAACACAAATAAAAAGGTCATAAAATTTGTGGAATCTTGTTAGTAAAGCCAAGCAACAAACCATGATGCTATCAACATATGCGCACTATCAGGCTCTGAAACTCGCAACAAAACTACATCCCATGTCACATTCTGTCAGCTCAGTCATTGTGCTGAACTCACTAAACCTCATCAAAATCATGTAACCCTAATCAAATATTACTAGCGGTGTATGGATGAAAGTGTAGCAGAAAGTAATGAAGCGAAATTTGATAGCGAAACTTGTGCATTATATCCGCTTTCCTCTCTACCCGCATTTTGCGCATCACGAATTCGCCATTCACACGCTGGCGACCATTATAGAAAGAGAGCCGCCATTCTTCCATTCCTCATCACTACGTAGAACGACAATTGTAAGCACCCGCCAGGTTCGGCGCTCACGCGCAACATGCGGCGGGTAACAGAACTGCTTCCATTTCTGCTCGCTACGTAGGATGAGAATTGTAAGCACCCGCGACTTGGGCGCTCACGCCGCAACTTGCGGCGGGTACTAACGACGAACTTGCTGCTGCGAGGCGTGCATTCTAGCTCGCCCCCCGCTCTCCCGTTCCTATAAAGTGCTTGCGCTACTAGTCTGTTTATGAGCATCAATTCCACATCGACAATCCCCTCGTTTGCGAGTAATTCACACAGACTCTCACCGGCGAGACATCTGAGGCATTCCAGGAGTGGTACTCAACGGCGGTTCGCATAATCTTTCTCAAATTTCGCAACGAATCTCCAGGCTCAGACCATTTCCTGACTTTCCTAGCAGCGCCCTTCAATACTACAAGCAATGGCTATCCGCGGGCTCTTCCTCGTCGCGCTTCTGTCCGTGTCGGTGCTCGCCGCGCTGACCCTTACCACCGCGGCCTCCGCGCTTCGCGGCACTACGGAAATCGGACTCTCGACTACGACCACGGCTAGCACTACTGGCGCGACTGGCGGTAAAACTGTTGCTAGCAGGCGCTTCCTCACGGATTCCGGTTTTGCCCCGATGCCGAGCTCTCCGAAGCCCAAGGACTCCCTTTGGAAGAAGGCCGGCAAGGCTTGTCTGTTTGTTGGCAATTCATGCGCGAAAATGATCGCCGACAACTTGACTAAGAAGAACGCGGCAAAGCTGGTGGCTGGCGCGGTGGTTTCGGGCGGCGGGATGGCTGTTGACGCGGCGAGCGGCGCCGCAGCGGCAGCGAAGGGGGACAAGAAAGGCGCCACGGATGCCATGGTGAATGTCGTCAAGGGCGCTGGCTCACTCGCGGCTTCCACCGTGGCGGGTCCCGTTGGCACAGTCGCGTTCAACGCGGCGACCTTCGCCGGGGGCAAGGCGAAACCCCTGGTGGAAAAAGAGGTGAAGAAGCAGCAGCAGAAGCAGAAGAAGAAGCGTGAGGAGAAGCGTGAGAAGAAACAAAAGGCTCTTGAACTGAAGCAGTCTTTGATCTAGACTATAAAGACAATTTAGAGTCTTAGTAGCAAGAACTGTGTGGGGAGTTGAGAGAAGGTGAAGCTGCGGTAAGCTGCTGCAGCACTAGCGGGTTGGGGTGGTTCTGATGGGGAAGGATATGGCAAGGGAGATGGATGATAAACGCAGTGAGGGATGGGGTGCTGAGAGGGACTTTGGTGTGCCTTCTGATGTGTGTGTGGTTTTAGGTCAGGGGGGTGGGATGGTGCAGGAAGAGGGTTAGATTCACAAGGAGATAATTGAGATTTGCTGTACCAGTTGTTGCTTCTGGACTTCCATTCCATTTCCTCTTATGACATGCAACAAGGCAAAGAGGCAAACAATACTTTTCCATTCCATTTCCATGAATACTTTTGCCCATGCACACAATGTCAGGCCAATGAAACATCCACTATCATGGCACGAACATTTGCTACATTTCCCCCTACATAGCCTTGTAGAACTGTCCCAACAAACTATCACAAGCGTGCACCACCTCTCATCGCCCAACATGCAGGCAGGCTGAGCTCTTCCGATGGAGGCAGTTGTGCAAGTGGTCGGAGATCCAGCTTGAGATCTACACCAGGAGACAAGGTGGATAATGGAATGGAATGATGGGAAACCAGAGGTTTGGAATGGGAAAAATAACAAGCAAACCCGCTATGGACACATTGCTAAGAATTTTAATAGAGGTCATATCACAACAATAATTAGATTGAATTGTTTTCAAGGAATTCAAATCCATTTTTATTATAGTCTTACGTTATCAGGTGTAACCAAAGTGGGGTGCCCTAAACCTTTTTAGGGATAGATTCCAAAACACCTGACGCTGACTGAATCAATTCGCATAATAGTGGGAGCTTCTGGTTCTTAACTCTACTTTAAACATACCTTACAGGTACAGTGGCTAGGAGTGTTAGAAAAGCAAAGTCAATCTTATAGCGAAACCTGTGAATTATTTGCGCTTCACTGCGCATATAATTATCGCGCATTCTGCGGATGACAAATTCACCACCCATGGGCTCATCTGAGGGACGAGTAGCGGGTGACCATTTTGTGGGAGTGGACCAAAAGTGCCACTCGTGTTTGCATTCGTTCTCGATACGCGGCTGACAATCATAGACACTGCGGGTGCCACGCCGCAACTTGCGGTTCCTAAGATAGGTGCGTTTCACAAGGGAGGTTTCTTCACATTACTCCCATTAGCAGTGTGCGAGTAGCCATCTTCATCCTAAGACAATCATTGCTAGCAATGTGTAAGCGCGCGGCCGTCGTACGTCGCGCTCGACGATCTTGCTGCGGCGGGCCGCGCATTCTCTCAACCCACCCTCCGCTCCCAAGTCCCTATATAAACGCCTGCACCAGCCTGCTTATGAGCATCAAATCAGTTCTACATCGAAAAAAGCGGTCCGGATATCAGACTCACAACGGCTTCTCAGAACTCGCAGATTTCGCAACGACTTCCGCAAACTCACACCACTAGCAATGGCTATCCGCGGGCTTTTCCTCGTCGCTCTTCTGTCCGTGTCGGTGCTCGCAGCGCTGACCCTTACCACCACGGCCGCCGCGCTTCGCGGCGGCACTCCGGAAGACACACTCCCGACGTCGACCACGATTAGTACCACCGGAACCAGCACCGGCGCGGCTCGTACTAGAATCGTTGCCAGCAGGCGCTCCCTCGCCACCTCGCCCAAAGCGTCAGACAAGAAGAGTCTGAAGAAGAAATGTGCGGATTTGGCGGGGAATTGCTTGAAAATGGCCGCCAACATGCTGACTGGAAAGAACGTCGCAAAGATGGCGGTTAACCACGCGGTTCCGGGCAGCGCGACAGCGATCACCGCGATGGAGGGCCTCGCAGCCGCGCGGAAGGGGGACAAGGAAGCCGCCAAGGAGGCCGCGAAGAGTGTCGCTAAGGCCGTGGTCTCGACCGCAGCTGGCGCGGTGGCGGGACCGCACGGCACACTCGCGTTCAAGGCGGGGGCCGCCGCGGCGGAGCATGTGAAACCCATCGTGGACGAGAAGTTGGCGAAGCGCAAGGCGGAGAAAGAGGAGGAACGTAAGGCGAAAAAGCCGAAGCGCGAGTAGATGTACCAGTCACTGGTACACGTACCCGCTGGTACATGTACGGTAGGCGAGTGGGGGCTCCAGCCTCGAGGCGCTGAATCGGCAAAATAAAGGGAGGCGAGGCGCTGTTCACGTAGTCGCCATGGCGGCGCACAGAGGTTGCTGCTGATGTCGCAATGAAAAGCTCAGTGAGCCTTGTTGGGTAGTCCGCCTGTCGGAGCCTTGGGGGCATGGGGGGTTTCTGAGGGGGGGGGTTAGGGGGTGTGGGGGTTTGAAGGGTTTTGAGAGTTGTCTAGGCTAAGCCTGTCGAGAAGCAGGGAGGCGAAGGGTTGTGTGGTGTAGCATGACAGGGTTTGCGGTAAGCAAGGGAGATGGCTCGAACAGGGTAGCGGCTTTAGAAGGGCGTGGGATGAGGTGCTGAGAGGGATTTCGGAAGGCTTTGTGATATGTGACCCTAGGCTGGGGGAGTGGGATGATAGTACAGGAAGAGGGGGCATAGGCGGACTGGGTAGGGTGGGATAGATGTAGAGGAGAATGGGGGCTGGCATGTTTTGAGAATTGCATCAACTGATGTTTCTCCTGGAATATGATAAATGATGTCATGGCATGTCGTACAGCAATTTACACCGAAGCCAATATCACGCCTGACAACCTCGTCGCTAAGATCCTATTCTTTCAAAGAGAGAGAAAAACAGCCAACACGGAGCATGTCACATCAGCCCGATCCCAACCCTTAGCCAGTGGAGTCTAACTTCTAAGCAGTGCCTTATGATCTCAAGCTTATAATAATAATGTTAAACTACACCAGTTGCACCGGAATCTGTGCTTTGAGGTTCCGCTTGCAGTCGGACGAGGCGGGGTTTGAAGGGTTTTGAGAGTTGTCCTGGATAAGCCCGTTGAGAAGCAGGGAAGCGAAGGGTTGTGTGGTGTAGCATGACAGGGTTTGCGGTAAGCAAGGGAGATGGCTCGAACAGGGTAGCGGCTTTAGAAGGGCGTGGGATGAGGTACTGAGAGGGATTTCGGAAGGCCTAATGATATGTGACCCTAGGCTGGGGGAGTTGGATGATGGTACAGGAAGAGGGGGCATAGGCGGACTGGGTAGGGTGGGATAGATAGATGTAGAGGAGAATGGGGGCTGGCATGTTTTGAGAATTGCATCAACTGATGTTTCTCCTGGAATAAGATAAATGATGTCATGGCATGTCGTACAGCAATTTACACCGAAGCCAATATCACGCCTGAAAAGCTCGTCGCTAAGATCCTATTCTAACAAAGAGAGAAAAAGACAGCCAATCCGGAGCATGTCACATCAGCCCGATCCCAACCCTTAAAGCCAGCGGAGTCTGATATTAAACTTATAATAATGATGTTAAACTATATTCGAATCCTTTGCTACACCAGTTGCACCGGAACCTGTGCTTTGAGGTTCCTCTTGCAGTCGGACGAGGCGGAGCTTCCGAAGTAGAGCGTCTGGCCCTTATCGCCGTCCTTAACGGTGTACGAGTAAAAGCCGACGTACGACGTCGAGCTAAGGGTCCTCGCGAGCGTGAAGTCGCACACGGAGTAGCTCGCGCCGTCGCTGAACATTACCACGTTGTGAGGCATCACCCACCGGAAAACTGAAGGGTTTGACGGGGGACCATGGGAGAATTGCGGCGGGGTAAAGAGAAATCGTGGCTTCGGGGGGGGGGGGAAAGAAGTTACTCGCAGGAGGAAGAAAAGAACGTATATCGCGAAAAGTGACGGCACGGACATACTATTTCATGTCGGGAACTGTCGCGTGACTCTTAATCAATATCTCTCTACTAATACCAGAACCACTACAACTGCGACTGACCGAGCTGGTCGCCGGCGTAGACTTTGGGCGCCTTCCACTTGCTGACGCTGAACGTCCACGGGCTGAACACCTGCCCGAACAACGACCCGTAACCCTTCCTACACACTCCTCTATCGGATTATCTACTACCGAGGCAGATTTCGAGGACAACGTGGATGATGATGGACTATCCCCGGAATAGAACGCGTCAGCCGCATTGTGCTGACTTGTTCCGTCGGCAGAGTCTCTTTCAGGAGTCGTATTGGTTCCTGAAAGGGTGAACGGGAAGATGGCTGTTGGGTAGAAGAAAGGAACATAGCGGCGGTGTTATAAAACGCTGATAAAGTGTGTGGAGAACAAAAAAAACAATAAAACGACTGTGCTGCTGATCAAGAAAACCTACCGATATCTCGAATATTAGATTGACCGATTCGTGCCATTTTCTCCTCGCAAATCTCTGTCGCCACAGATGGTTCAACGCGCCTTCCGGCGGCAACCTCAAGGTTAGTGCGTGCTGAGGAAGCCTCTTCTATTTCGAGAAGTTCTGGAAAGACGGCCTTGACATTGTCGAATATCTCGTCCGCTTCACACTGCCTGAGTGAGGCGGTGTCACTGACGGTGTCGTCTTCGTATTTCCTGCAGCGTTGAGTCCCACGAACCGGCATTGACGTTAGAACCAACATTTGTCAGATTTTTTTCTTTTAGTCGACTCTGCAGCGTTACGTCCCAAGAACCGCGGTTGGGATCCGAACCCAAAATGCATCAGAGAAATTGGGGACGTGCGAACTGTCGGGAGAATGATCATGAGTTCGTTTGAAACAGGCTACGGTGTGTCTGTGATACGGTAACAATATCTTGCTCGCAAGTTGAGGGGAGAAGGGGGGGGGGTTACGCACCCATTGACCAATGTCGCGGCGGAGTATCGTGCAGGATAAACCATCTGGCTTGTGTAACCGACAGAAGGGCGACTGACGCTTAAGAATTGGTGTTGAAGAACTACCTTGCTGGAAAAAGCCAGGTTGGGGGGGCGAGTTTCTCGAGTATGGCGGTTGTAAGGCAAATATGGCGAGGCAAGCCCTCGTGTGGGTGCGTCAGGGCTCCGAGTGAGTGGGATGGGGGTTCGACAGAACACCCAAGTGCTTTGAATGAGTTTGGGTGGGGGAGCTCAGGAGCTGGTTGATTTGGGGAGCTGATGCCCGGCTTGGGTGGGTGTCGGGGTTGGGGGGGGGGGCTATGCTTGGATTCGAATTTTGAATTTGGCGTTAGTTTCGGTGCGACTCGAATTCAACCGAATCGCAGTTCCACAAAAGGCTACACCTGATGTCACTATCGCGAATGTTAATGACCATAAGCCAAAGAAATTTGTCATAATTAGTGAAACCAAGCAACAACAAGGTTGCTTAAGCAAAGACAAAATACACGCACTATCAGGCAGGAAAAAACTAAAAAATACACCCCCATTTGCCAGCTCCGTCATTTTGTTGAACTCACTCAACCATATCAAAATTGTTTGTTTGTTCTTCACCTTAATTGAAACATATTTGAGGTGTATGGATGGAATTGTTATAGAAAGTGCTATGTCAAATTTCAAAGCGAACCTTTTGCATTATTTGCGCTTCCCTTTCCGCCCGCGTTGTGCGGATCACGGATGCAGTATTCACATGCCAAAGCTGTTAGAGTAAGGATCTTGGATAGAGTAGGAAGTGCCTTAGTAGAGTTGGTAGCGGAAGTCTTGTGAGAACTTAGATCATAGTGAATGTAAATGACCAAGTTGATTAAAAGATAGAATACAGGGAATATAAATAGTACTAACTAGCCATGTACTCTAAGGGGTACATTCCCTTATTATAACTGTTTTTACAGGCATTTCTACAGTGACTCCAACTGTTGCACTACTTTTCTTGTTACCGAGTCGTTGCAGGTAACCTGTACGGTTACGCCTGTTGCCATTCCTCGATGGTAGGTCAAGCGTCGGTCCAGATGGTCAACAGTCGCGACAGTTGACTCTTGCGACTGTTGACCTTCCTGCCCTTGATACGGGCTGATCCGATACTGCGGTTGTTGCTGCTTCGACAGAATCTGGTGCGATACTACTGCACCTACGGGAATGCTAAGTATAATTCCCTTCACACTCCAACACTCCCCTTCATTCCTGGAGGTGCGCCACGTGGCTCTTGCGAGTGACTCCGCAAAGGTCCGAGCAGTACTGAAACTTCTGACGTGGCAGTTTCTTCGTGAGGAAATCAGCTGCCATTTCGCCAGTTGGACAGTAGGTGAGCTGGACCTTTCCCTTGTCGATTTCGTCGCGCTCTGGTTGTCGCAGAGTAACTTAAAGGACCCGCCCATCGCCGTCTTCGTTTCCTGCAGGAATTCCGTGAGATAGAGTCCTTCGCGAACTGCTGCGCTTGCTGCGATGAATTATGCTTCTGCTGACGAGAGGGCGATGAGTTCCTGTTTGTTGGAATTCCAGGAGATGGTTCCTGCAGGCTCAAGTTTAAAAATGAAGCCTGTGCGGGACCTCCTGTTGTCTGCGTCCCCAGCGTGGTCAGCATCCACATAGCCGGTGAGTTGTAGTGGAGCCGTTAGGTTGGCCTTGTAGGTGAGGCCGACATCAGGCGTAGAAATGAAGTACTGTAAGGCGCGGCGCAGGTCCGCTAGGTTCTCCCCTTCAGGTCGGCGCAGGTACTGGGCGAGCTGGCTGGCGATGTAGGATAAGTCCGGGCGACATGTGACGGCGGCGAACAGTAAGCATCCGAGCTGTTGCTGGTAGAGGCGATGATCGGCCGGGGAGAGCGGAGTAGTGTCGGGCTCGTGATGAGGAGGGGGAATGCGGAACGGGGTGGTGACGCCGACAGGAGCTATTCCAAACTTCTTAGCGAGGGTCTCGGCGTATTTCGCGGCGGAGAGGTGAATCGTATCCGCGGTCTGAGTGACGTTGAGGCCAAGGAATTGGGTGACCTCATGGTCGATGGTGACCTCTAGCTTCTCTTGGATTGCACGTTCGAAGTGATCAAGCAGGTCGTTGTCGTCGCCGGTGTAGAGAAGATCGTCGACGTAGGCGACGAGCAGGATGAAGTGGCCGCGGGATTCGAGGCGGTACATCCCTTGATCGTGGGGAAGCTGCTGGAAGCCGAGTTCGATGAGCACGCCATGAAGATGCCGCTGCCACAGGCGTGGTGCCTGCTTGATGCCGTACTAGGATTTT